CTTTCCTCCCCAACATGCTTGGAAAGGAAATCTCAGCAGCAGGAGCCTCAGTGGGCTCGTCCATGCCCTCAGCACCCTGGGGACACCCAGGATCACAGGATCATTGCAGTTGGAAAAGCCCTTCAAGACCATCGAGTCCAACCTGTGCCCAATCCTCACCGAGTGCCACTGAGTCCTTCCCTGGACACCTCCAGGGGTGGGGACTCCAAACCTCCCTGGGCAGCCCCTTCCAATGTTTAACAACCCCTTCCATAAAGAAATTCCTCCTGCTGTCCAACCTGCCCCTCCCCTGGAGCAGTTTGAGATGATTCCCTCTCCTCCTGTCCCTTGTTCCCTGGGAGCAGAGCCCGATCCCCCCCAGCTCCCCCCTCCTGTCAGGGGGTTGCAGAGCCAGAAGGTCCCCCCTGAGCCTCCTTTGCTCCAGGCTGAGCCCCCCCAGCTCCCTCAGCTGCTCCAGCCCCTTCCCCGGCTCCATTCCCTTCTCTGGACACGCTCCAGCCCCTCAATGTCCTGTACTGGGGCCCCCAAATCTGCCCCCAGGGCTGGAGGTGCCCCAGCAGTGCCAGCACAGGGGGACGGGCACTGCCCTGGCCCTGGGACACACCAGTGCTGGGACAGCCCAGGGCCAGTGGCACCACCTGGGCACACCTGGGCTCGTGTCTGACCACTGTCATGTCCTTTCCCACTTTTCCATTCAGTCTTCCCCCAGCCTGGAACACTCCATGGGGTTGTGACCCAAATGCAGAGATATCGAAGTGCAGACACTGGGTAGGGAGTTACTGCAGCCTTGAAGTGACTCCATGGGTTAGAAACACTGTAATAAACAGGTTTTTTTCCTTTTCCAAGGATTCAGTGGGGTGATGCAAACTTTATAGTCAAAGTAAGGAAGCAACACGTGAACCAGATGAACTCAGGGTGTGTTTGGAAACACTGGTGAGTTCCAGGGCAGAGCCTGGTGCAGGATGAGAAACCAGCAACAGCCTCTCCCTGTGCTGCCCATCCCCTGGGAATCCTTCAGTGACCAACAACAGGTTTGCTCAGGCAGAGACTTACAGCCCTCATAGAAAACAAAACGTTTTACTGCAGCTTCTGGGAAAAGAAAGTCAAAATTTCCATAACATTGCTGCAGTGGCCTGGATCTTCCAGCCTTAAAAAACAAATGTAGCCTTACTCTAAACGTTTATCACTAATATTGATGTGCACATGAAACGCGTCTGTGTGTAAAGCCTTTATATCTGCACAGCAAAGGCAGGAGGGCTCAGGAATTCTGTTTTTCTTTGAAGAAAGGCTTCAAAACCTGCAGGTTTATAAGTGCTGATGATTAGTTTGGTTTTTTAAGTTCTCCCTTGTCAGCTGTGGCTCGTGACTTCCCAGCAGAGGGAATCGCAGCCCAAGCGATGAGGGGCTGTGGCCGTGGCAGGCAGCCCTGGCAAACCCAGCCTGTCTCTGTTCTCTTTTAACTTCACTTTCTTCTGCTGCCAAGCTCTGATGCATGCTGAGTGATTAAAAATATCAAATGCAGCCTTACCCAGCGAGGAGTCAAGTCCAGGGGGGAAAGAAAGAAACCCAGCCCCGTGAAGGCAGTGCTGGAAAACAGAGCAGAGGAAAGAATGGGAGGCAGAACGTTTTTACACAGTCCTATTGGCAATATCCTAAGGAAAAGGAGAGGATTGTCCCCATGTGGTTCAGGTTTTGGATGTCTCCCCTCACCTGCTCTCTCCACATCCCTGCTGAAAGTTGTTAGATTTTCATGCACAGGGAGCAAACTGCCACCACCACTGGTGCTGGAATTCTGAAAGAAGCCTCCAGGGAAGGGGTTGATGTTGCTGCACAGTAAATTGGGGAGTGTTTTTGTGCTGTCAGAATCCCAGTTATGTGCTCGGGGCACGGCTTTATCCCTCTGGAGCTCCCGGCCCCTCTGCCATGAGGTTGTTGCCACATTTGGGGTCAAAGGAGTTTTGGGAGCAGGGAGAGATGCTGGCCTGGCTCTCCGGTGCATGAAATACTGCACCAGCTCCCTCTACAGGTCCCACCTGCAGTCCCTTGACTGCCCTTTATTTTCTGGACTCTCCAGACCCTCTCCTGTGACACCCACAAGGTTTGTGTCTGCTCCAAGCACAAGTCAGGAGCAGGGAGGGCAGGAGGGTGGGCTCGGGGCTGCCCCAGGGATCTGCTCTGCCCAGGGTGACAAAAGGGTGGCAGGGGGGCTCTCAGCTGCCTCACCCTTCCTACCCTTTTATTTAATCAGGGGAAGCTGGATGGGCTTTATGGTTTGTCAGTGCCTCGGCCCAGCCAAGCCCTGAGCTCGGTGGAGCCTCTTTGCCCCCTCACTGCTGTAATGCAGCTGGAAAACAAACCCAAGAGGTTTCCCCGGCTCCTGTGGATTTGCTGCTGGGTCTGATGCCAGCTCAGGAAGCTCAGTTCCTGGTGCAGGTGCTGAGTGTCTCCCTGGCTCTGTGGTACAGCTGTGAATCCCAACCTGGCCTGAAAAGAGCAGGGAATCCTCCCAAATCCTTGTGCCAAGGAGCAGGGACTGGTCCTGCGCGGGCCGACAGCGAGTACATGCAGATCTGCTCTTGTTGTCACTTACAGTTAATTTATTTTTAGATTAAAAAAATGTTTTTATTTCCCAGGCTCACAGAGTTGGCACTGCTTTTTTGGGTCGGAGCTGACTCCATTGTCTTCTCCAGTTATGCCTCCCCTGCAGTGCCGAAATGAAAAATTCCAGTTACATATTGTACAGGGGCCGGGAGCTCGGAGGAACTGACTCATCTCGGTTATATTTGTCCTTTTCAAAGGGGAAGATCCTGGTCGAGGGGTGGAGGGGGAGCAGCACTGGTTACCTCCCACCCACTGCAGCAAAGTGCTGTTATCAGGGATCTGCAGGGCTGAGTGCCCGGGAAGGCAGAGGGGTCCTGGCAGGGTGCAGCTCCTCAGGCTGCTCCCACCGTGGGGCAGAGGGGAAGGGAGGGGTTGGGGACATTTCTCACAAAAATAATGGTTGTTCCAGCGTGACAGAGGCCACGGTGCATTCACAGGCTGGGCCAAGTGCCTGCAGGTGAACCCCAGCCCTGGGGACATTTCCCACCACGAGGGATGGTGATTTGAACATGCAGTGCCATGGCTTGGGTGGACAGTGCTGTGGTCTGAACATGCAGTGCAATGCCTCGAGTGCACAAGGTCACAATTTGGGTGTGCAGTGCCATGGTTTGAGCGTGCAATGCCACAGTTTGGGTGTGCAATGCCGTGGCTGGGTGTGTAGTTCCACGGTTTGGGTGTGCAGTGCTACAATTTGGGTGTGCAGTGCCATGGCTTGGGTGGACAATGCTGCGGTCTGAACATGCAGTGCAATGCCTCGAGTGCACAAGGTCACAATTTGGGTGTGCAGTGCCGTGGTTTGAGCGTGCAATGCTACACTTTGGGTGTGCAATGCCGTGGCTGGGTGTGTAGTTCCACGGTTTGGGTGTGCAGTGCTACAATTTGGGTGTGCAGTGCCATGGCTTGAGCTGTACAACACCATAATTTGGGCGTAAAGTGCCACATTTTGTGTGTGAAGTGCCACAATTCGGGTGTTAAATGCCATAATTTGTGCGTGAAGTGCCAAAATTTGGGTGTTAAATGCCACAGTTTGTGTGTGAAGTGCCACAGTTTGTGTGTGAAGTGCCACAATTTGGGTGTAAATTGCCACGATTATGGTGTGAAGTGCCAAGATTTGGGTGTGGAGTGCCAAGATCCAGACCTGCAATGCCACAACTTGGACCTGCACCATGGTGGGGTCAGACCTGTGTCCCCGCAGGTCCCTGAGCTCTGGTGGGTGAGATCTGTGGGTGAACTGGGGTGGGTCACACCTCTGTCCCTGTATGTCCCTAGGCCATGGTGGGTGAGATCTGTGGCCCTGCAGGTCCCTGAGCTCTGTTGGTCAGACCTGTGGACCCGCAGGTCCGTGGGCCGTGGTGGGTCACAGGATCTGTGACCCCGCAGCGCTGGAGCAGCTGCTGCTGGAGAGCAGCAGGAGGGCCCAGGACATCCCTTCTCCCCTCAACCCCACCGTGGAGCTCAGCCACCCCCGGCTGCCACGTGTCACGGCGGTGCCATCACGTGGGAGCTGCCACATGGGCCCCTGGCGTGCCGGGAGGATCCGCGCGCGTGCCGGGGGACGCGATAAGGCCCCGGAATGCCGTGGCGTGAGTTCAGCTCTCCTGCCTGCTCCCAGCAGCTGCAGGAGCCGCTTCCACTTCCTGCCCGGCCCTGCCTGCGCTCCGTGCTGTTCAACAGCTGCCGCGCTCCATCCTGTTTCGTGATGAAAGGTGCTTTGGAAGCGGAAGAAAGTTGTGATGATCGGGAGGAATAACGTACAGGCGGGGCTGGAGGCAAGGCAAGGCTGTGCTCGTCCTGGTTCCAGCCCTTGGGGCGGGTGGTGGTGGCGTGGGGACCCCTTCCCACCCCGGATTTTCAGGTGGCACGTACGGGGTTGGTTTGCTGTGCTCCCGCTGGGCTGGCTCGCTGCAGTGCCATCCCAGGGGCATGGCAGCATGGAATCACAGGACCACGGAATGGTTTGGGTTGGAAGGGAACCACTCCCACCACCTTCCACCACCAGTTGCTCCAAGCCCTGTCCAACCTGGCCTTGGGCACTTCCAGGGATGGGGCAGCCACAGCTTCTCTGGGCAACCTGTGCCAGGACCTCCTCACCCTCACAGGGAAGAATGTATCCCTAATATCTGATATAAATCTCTCCTCCTTTACTTT